GGAAGAGAAGAAAAAAAAATAAGAAAGAAATTTTTTTATTATATTATTATTTTTTTCCATGTCATTATCATAAAGTCCAAGTTGGACTTGTCAACATGTCATTATCTCCGACGTTAAATTTTACCTTATTTTCCTAAACTCGAAAACATAGAGGGTAAAAAATCATATATTGTAATATGAGGGGTAAAATGTCTCAAATTTGAAAAGTTGAAGGGCAAATGTAGGGTTTTTGCCTATAATTAGCTAAATTTTAGGATTTTGAAATGTTGGTTGCTGTTAATTTTTGGCTTCAAGTTCAAGGAGCAGACTTTTTTGTATTCTATTTAGGTTGTAAGTGGATTTGTTACATTTGTATGCATTGATGGTTTTAACTAATGGGGTACATTTTAGGATTGAAGCTTTATGCTTTCTTATTTGATTTTGGGTAATTAGAGTATTGTACGGATGACTTGATTCTGGCTGATTCATAATTTGTGGAAACCTGTGTGCAGGAAGACACGCGGAATGGGAGCTGCTCGCAAGTTGAAGTCCCACTGTAGAAGGCAAAGGTGGGCTGATAAGGTATATAAGAATCCCACCTTGGTAATGAATGGAAGAAACCATTCACAGGATCTTCTCATGCAAAAGGCATTGTTCTTGAGAAGATGTAGGGGGAAACCCTGTTTTTAATTTCTTATCAGTTCCTTTGGTTCCCATTCCCTGAAGTTGTTATCCCTAAACATCAACTGATGATTGCATATGTGACTTGCTAACTTGTGCAGAGGTATTGAGGCTAAACAGCCGAACTCTGCTATTAGAACATGTGCACGAGTTCAGCTAATAAAAAATGGAAAGAAGATTGCAGCGTTTGTACCCAACGATGGTTGCTTGAAGTTCATTGAAGAGAATGTAAGAATCATTTAGAGCACTTTTAGGAGGTTTAGGTTTTATTATTTCTGAACAATTTGTTTGTGTGTTCATATTTGTGTCTTATCAAACATATCATCTTGATGCTATACACAGGATGAGGTTCTGATTGCTGGGTTTGGTAGAAAGGGACATGCTGTTGGACGTATTCCTGGAGTCAGATTTAAGGTTGTCAAAGTTTCAGGTGTTTCTCTATTGGCCCTCTTCAAGGAGAAAAAGGAGAAGCCGAGGTCATAAGCTCCTGCAACAAGGCATTTCATCCTATTATTCTCAATTATGAAAGCTTCATTGATGAGAAAATTTTGCAAACTTTGGTCTTCCTCACACCACTTTTCTTTTTCTGCATACAACATAGTGGAGTGACATTCTTTTATTTCTATGATGTTGAGAATATATGCCAACTAGAAATCTACTTCTCTTGGGAAATTAATCAGATGGTTTATGAAATTTAATTGTCTTGTGGCTGGAGTATGAATGCTGCATGGAACTTCAGTAATTTGTTTCAAAAGAAGAAAATTAGTCTGTTATTTGAGATCAAGGTGACAAATTGTCGGTAACTGCTAATAGCGGCTGAGGAATGTTAGATGGTGGGATTTATTTATTGATTTTTAGAAATTCTTTAGTTAAAAGTGGCTGACAACATGTTCCCAAATTTAAACAAAATCCAAAACTATGAATCCCAGTACATTTCAGGGCAACACGCAAAAGATTTGCATTGTCCACATTTACGACAAGGATGGACACAAAGATGGCGCCTCTTATTATTATTATTATTATTTTTTCAAATAAAAAAAGAAAAGAAAAAAGAAGAAGAGGATTATCCATCTTTTAACTTGAGAAATTGCATGAAAGCATTCCCAAGGACTCGATAATGACTAAAGCAAAATAAATTTTGCTGTATCATATGTTCATGTCTACTGGTAAACCAAATAGAAATATTTTTGAAGAAGGGTAATTTTTTGTAAATATTCTTACTATACTAGGGTCGGGGAAAGTGATCCCTGAATCGAATGTCAAATCTAAAGTGGTGTTCTCCCTTAAAAAGATAAGTGATTAACCATTTGATTCATGCATTTGAAATACTGAATAAAAAAATTTATCATAATTTAAATTAAACTAACTTAACTCTAAAATAAAATGAGGTTATAAGGCCCCTTAACATTGGAAACAATTATCTTATCTAAAATCTAGGATCTGTTTGGGTTAATTTCTTAAAAATTTTGCTTTTTTGGCACTATTTATAAGTGATAAGTTTAAATTTTTATTAAAGAAAAAATTAAAAAGTTACTTTTAAAAATAAAAAAAATAAATAAAAAATGAGTAAAAAAATTTATGGAAAGTGAAAGTTTGAAATTTTTGATTTAGGGTATTTTTAAGGTTAAAAAAATTTAAAGATATAAGTTTTAAAAAAAATTTAAAATTTATGAAACATACCCCTAATTTAGTGTTTAATATACTTTAAATAGTAAAATAAGAAGCTCTAAATAAAAAAAATTACTATTAGTTTTTTGGTAAGTTGTTAATTTTTTACGGGTATAAAGATGCAAGTTTCTGCTTGAATACACTTTAGTCATTTTCCTTGTACAGAAAATAATAATGAGCAAATCCCCGGACACAAGGGCAGTCAGTCATATTTTCCATCCGTCGATCGAGTAGCAGACGTTGACAGCACCCAACTTACTACTTTGCTCGACAATTTTCAAAACAGAACCAATGTTTAAATTGACACCTGACTCAGACTCAAATTCGAATGTTGTCGAAAAAAACACAAATGTCTTTAATCAAACCTTAATCAAGTCCTAATAACACAGCTCATGCACTTATTTTAATAATAATGTTTATTCTGACTATCTCTCACGCCCAAATCTTCAAGTTAGATTTGGTTTAGTGAGAGGGAAGAAAATCCATCCCGAGATTGGTGCTTGCTTTTCTGTCTCTACCCAAATTTCTAACTTTGGGAAGAAGTTAATCCAATCAAAGCCTCCATTAATTATTAAATAATTATAATGTCTGTATTTTTTTTTTTTTCTTTTGGTTTACCTAGAATCTGCTTGAAAGTATGAAGCAATCATGATAGAATATCTTGAAAACACCACTGTTTCAAAATCCAAAGCCCCTCTAAACTAACTACCCTTAGCCACCCTTTTAATACTTCAGTCTTCAGACTTCAGAGAGTTCAGACTGTAAAGACAAAAGAAAAAAAACCCATGAAATATCACTCTCAAGTCTCTTTCACCATTTTCTCTAAGAGGTAAACCAATCCATTACCAACCCTATTCTAGATATACTTAATTGGTTTTTTAGACTATAAAATTAGTTATTTAAAAACATAGACACTTTAATAATAATAATAATAATAAACTATGTCTTACAATATAATCTTGATTCTTGGGTAATCCGATACCTATAAGGAAAGATCCTTTAATTGGTTAGAAAATGAATTTGAAATGATCATTTGTTTATCAACCAATAAAGAAAGTAAAAAGATAACAAAATGGAAATATATATAGTTTAAGGATGATTCAGGCTTGAATCATGTATCTCCTAACACAAAACTCTTCAGAAGGAATTAAAACTGAGATACATACATATATATATATATATATATATGCATTTGATATATGAAAAGAAATTAACTCAGTTGTTTTTTGTTCATGATATTAAAAGACATGAAAAGATGATCGTTCTTAATGTCTACATTAGAGGGCTATTAATCAATCCATGCCAAGATGAGTTGAGTCCATTCCAGCTTTCCCTTCCTGAATTATCAACCTGACCCACGCTAATACCATCTCCACTGAGCTGCCATGGAAATCCCCACAAGGCTTTGTTCTGATCAGTGGTCCTATTTCTGACTCCATTGCAGAATTCTTGCTTCGTTGTTGTGACTGTCACAGCTGTTGTTGTTGCAGTGCTGCTGCTCATGTCTTGATTATGATCATACGGTAGCACCATTTCACCACTGACACTTCCACTACAATTATCCACCTCTCCAGCCATGTTCCCATTTCCAAACCCGTAATAAAAGTTCTGAAAACTGTTCTGGGTTCCCAGAAAGCCACTTCTTAGTGTGTCAAGAAAAGGAGTGGCACCAGAACTGTTGATGTTAGGGTTACAAAGGATCATGTCACAATGGGTGCTACTGGGATTCCCCATAAGGGAAATTTCGTGATCATCAAACCCTAAATGCCCACCAGATTTCTGAAGCCCAGCAAATGCAAGACTCAGGTAGTCACCAGAGTCATAACTCAGGTGAGGGATCCCAGTAAGCGGGTTGGTGCTGGAATTGAGCTGATTATGATCTTGGGTCCTCTTTGATGAAGATGATGATCTTTTGTTCTTCCTGCACCCACCTCCCACTGGAACATTCCTCAGTGTGCCGCCTTTGGTCCAGTACCTCCTGCATCCCTTGCAAAAATACCTTGGCTGGGAGAGGCTGTAGTTGTTGTAGTAGCAGAATTTGGTGTTGGTAGAATCACACCTTGGGCACTTGAGAGCTTGTTCTGGTTGTGGCCTCGGCTTCCTCTCTTGTGCCTTTGAGCAGACCAACATGCTCTCTAAAGAAGAATTAGCCATCTCCTGAAACATGAAAAAAAATTTCAGCTTTAAAAATTAACAATTCAACTCACATTTATAGTATTTAATTTCAAATATTGTAGATAATTGAAACATGACGAAATTAAGGGCTAAATAGTGTAATTTCATTATTATTATTTATTAACCAGAATGAGAGACATGAATAGAAAATCAAAAGCACTAAAATTAACCTGCATCCAAGTTTCTCTTAATGGTTAAGAGAAGATCAAAACTTGAGTCTTCTTTGAATTTAATCCACATAAAATTTGATATCATCATTTTCCCCCAAAATTCACTACCCATTTCATGAAAGCCCCAAAGTAAACAAAGATCTCCAAAAGAGAAAAAAAAAATAATAATAATCCATTCTTTCCATCCCCTTTTTTTCTTTACTGACAGCATCAAAGTGATGACTTATTACAAGCATAAAAACCCAAAAATCACAAACAATAAAAAGAACCAAAAAAGGAAAAGAAGAAAGAAAACAAAAGAGTAAAGTCACAAAACAATGAAAAATCATTTCATCATCACCACCATCATCAACCTACCTGATGTTGTGAGGGATCCATTCATGCAACAAAGCAATCCACACCCAAGTTTCAGATGAAGTTCCTGTGCACAACAAGTACAGAAAGAAACAAAACAAGAGAGAGAAAAGAAAGAAGAAAACAACTAGAGTGACGAAAAAACAAGTACACTCCTCTCCATATATAAAGCAAAGCAAACCCAAGAGAGAGAAATGGAGATTTTTTATTTGTTTTTTTTTTTTTTAAGACAAATGGAAGAGAGAAAATGTAATGATGAGTTTCTCGTACGAGATGATGAATGTGATTCGCTAGCGCGCACAGAGAAAGCTTCTCTCACTCCCTCCAACGGACGGACCGGACTCATATAACAGCAGAAGGTGGGGTGAGGTGATGTGTGATCATGCCCGCTCCCATTTTGTTAAAACTATCTAATTTTGTTTAATTTAAATGTTTGATTATTAAAAAGGTTTATTAAGTGATAA